CGATGACAAATTGACACGTTTTGACCTGAGAAAGTCGAAAGCCGTCTGTTCGTACAGGTACGGTTGATTATAAATCTGCGTCAAACGGTGAACTAAGCATTAAGTTTCTTAAGCGACGAAGATTTCAAAATTGGCTATGACCAGGCGAGGGCTATTTTTAGTCCAGAAGACAGGTACTGTACTTGCGGTTCGTCGAACTGTAACTTGTTCATCTGGAACGTGAATTCAACGAAGTTGGAAAAAACTCTTTCTGGTGTTCATACGTAATGACGATTACTTAATATTCGCTCAAAGTATACCGTTTTTTAGTGCCTGTATTACAGCTTGCGCGTGGCATCCACGAGGTGGGGTACTTGCAAGTTGTGATAAACACAAAACCATATGCTTGTGGTCCAGATACTAAGCTGTTTATTACTTCGTCTCTTGCTGTTTCAAGTTCGTCGGCTGCCTTTGCCCCTACGCTGAAACATAAATAGCGAGTTCACTGCTTCGTCTCATCTTCACTGACGAAAGATACCTTCAGTAGCCGCATGTCGACGGCTAGAACTACTTTTACAAATATGAAGTGTATTACAGATTGAATGATTCCGTGTTTAATGAATTTTTGCATTTATGAACTTTTTCCGAGAAAACAAATTTACGCTTTATGCAGTTTTGCATTTTTGTCTGAAAAAACAGTTAATCCAAAAAAAACTCAGCAGTTTAAAAGTCGCGCACGCTTTCCTTGATTCTTAACGTCTTAGTACGAACGATGAAAGCGCAGTATCTCAGGAATGGTCCCGCGATCGCCCACGGAAAACACTCCCTGGAGCGAAGAAGACAATGACATTCTGAACCGTGTCATCTTTCACATGACATCTTCAGCGCATTTAGTCACAGCGTGGTTCTGGTAGGCCTTCCAGTGTCCAGACATACGTGACCCACATGTCGTTAGTTATACACTTTACGACGTCACGTGGTCACCATTGTGCTTCGAATGATGGAAGATGTTAACCTTTTAAACGTAATAATGGCAGCAGTTTCTTGGCACTGGGTGTGACAAAGCCATCAATAACTCGTAGAGACATCGTAAGGAGTACTTTAACCGCAGTGGCAGACGATTGAAGCATACCCGATTACTGGTCTAGTTGCGACAGGGCAATAAATAACTACGCACATTGTCATGCAACGTTCCATCCAAACCAGTAAACGTCGTCAACTTCTGTCCGGCGTTACCCAGCAGTTTATTTGAGGCACGGGTGCTCTGCAGGCCAAGCACGGAAACAGGCAGTTCCTAGCGAAAGGATCAACGTTACGCAATGCAACCGTTGCTGGAAAACTTCACCATCCGGCTGACACGGCGATCCGCTGTGGTTACATTCTCCTGAGGAAGAGCTTACGAACAGATTTAGCAGCTTTACCTTCGATAGAGAAAATTGGCGCTGGCGTTACACTTTTGCGGCCAACTGATTTCGCATATGGTCTGCAGTTTGGCGAAAAAAGTGGCATCGTTCTTCAACAGCACGTTTCCTTAGCTTTTCTGTCCCAAATGAATGCGTTGGAAAGCAGCTAAGTGGCCCGCGGTTACATAACTACAAAGAAGATTTTGATAAATTTCAATTACGTTCAAGCGCAAGGTATTTCATCTCAGAAGCGTCGCCTGAAATTCGCGTTTCCTGGAAATACGTTTACTTCGTCATCGAAAACGACGGTTTTTAAAACTTCTTCAACGATATACGCACGTCTGCGAGGCAACAATGGCGATTACCATGCACACGTTCTAACGACTTATTTCATTTGTACGAGAACTCAAGACTAGTTCAGTCGTGATACGCGTTTCCAGTTTCTTGTAAGAGAAGGAACACACTTGACATGACTATGACTCATTAAATAAATTCGCGATCTCTATCTCACAAACCTTTTTCAGAATAGAGACCGTGCCATTATTGGTGATTAGTGAAGGCAGAAAGGGAAGCTCAGGATCTTGCGAGTTTTTCAGTTGTTCTTTGGCGAACGATTCGCAGAAAACGGTGAGTCCAATCAACCCAGTCTTGCAGGACTTTATAATTTGCGAATTAACGTTTAAGCAATTCGTCTGTTACGCCAACTTGGCTGACTAAACGCGAGTCAAAGAAATATTAATCATTTAGCCTTGCTAAAAAAGTTGGAAACTCTAGTTTATGAGCCTATCAACGTTGAATTACTGAAACAACGAGGTCTAATTGTTCACCTTTCGGCTAAAATAACACCCGCTACGGAGAAGTGTCAAGGATCATCACAGATATGGCATCTAGACATATGCAGCAACACACTATCCTGATAAGTCTATCATAATGCACGCAACACTGAAGAACCGTTTCATGCGGTAAATATTTCAACGATATTCTTACTTCCTGTGGGACCACTGTGTAAAAAACTTGCGGTATCTTACTAGGTACCCTGAAAATGAATCAAGAAAAAGTCAAATTCCGGTAATTTGTATAAACTTTAAGTGAAGCCGTTATAAATATGGCATGAAGATCATGCCATGCTACCTTGTGCAAGTGTTTTTTTAGTATGACAAAACTGTATGGAGAAAGTACTAAAGTTAAAGTTAAATGACGTAAAATATATATATGTAAAGCATAGTGAAATGGAAAGAAATTTTAACCAGCGATTTCTTACGTCTCTTCACCGACCAGGAGCCTACGTTTCTAACCCATGCTATAACTAGAAGCAATGTAACAGATTTGCAGAAATCTGAATCAGCTATTGGTCTCAGGAGTTGTAATCCATACACTAGATATTCTTGTTTC